GGAGGAGAATTACTGAAGTGATGAGGGGTATTTTACACAATGCAATGACCATGAGCCACCTGGAGTGAACACACACAGCACCAGGATCAAGCTGTAAATGATCCGATTGTTGATTATATGTGTGCGTGCCCTCATACCCCTAACTCACACTGGACATTCCGTAATAGGAACTCATGGTTGACCAAGCACACAAACGCACAGAAACCCACACACCCAGTCACACAGCCTCAGCAGCCATCACTCCTTCTTTTTTCCCATTTCTTCTCCTTCATCATTTCTTCTCTGCATTTGTTCCAGGCAGAGATTCTTCAGTGCCGACCCACTGAAGCATAGAGACTCGCCCTGAGCGCACACACACACACACAAGTACTAACAAATTCCAAACTTGTCTCTGCAGTCTCTTTCACACACCATCTAAGAGAACAAATCAAGATTCACTGCAGATGAATCTCTGAATTCTAAACAGGACAGCACCAGAGAAAATTTGATTTATTTTTATTTATTGTGTTTTATTATCAAATGATCACTGTTTAAACACAAATATTGCCCAGTATTGTATATGAAATATGGTATATAATATGGTATAATGAAATATTCCAGAGTTATTGCAAAAAAGCATTGCTAAACTGCCCTTGTGAAAAATAACTTAAAATAAAATAAAAACTGGATACATACTTGTAAAGAATCTACTTAAGTGCGAACATAGTGCATGTTAACTGCAATTAAATAATGTATTTTAGTTAACATTTATATTAAATACAATTAGCTAAACTTAAGATTGTTTTATGCAATTTCATAATTACTTCCTATGTCTTTGAAATGTGGTTAAAGTGTATTCCAGAATTCCAATTGGGTGCATTTAAAATATATTGGTAACACTTTATTTTAAGGTGTCCTTGTTACACGTTACTTGTTTACTATTATAATAACAATTAATTATGCATAATTACATGCAAGTAACCCTAAGCCAAACCCTAATCCTAACCATATAGTAAGTACATGTAGTTAATTAATATTACTCAGCACTTAAATGTATAATTACAAAAAACAAGGACACCTTAAAATAAAGTGTAACAATATATTAAATTTAAATGTAATATTGAATAATTCTACAGTTGAAATTATAATCAAGTACTTCACATGTGCTTTAATATGTTAGTCAACACATCAAAATAAATGTACTTTAAAGCATTAAAACATCAATTTAAAATGTACTTTACAGTAAAACGTTTAACTTGACTATTATATTATTATAATCTTTTAAAAACACTTAAATGACCTTTTATTTAATTAATATAATACATACAATTGTAGCTTTTTAAAAATATATACATTAAGATTTTAAGTACACTACAAGTGCACGATCAATACAATTAAGCACATTGCTTTTTCACAAGGGTAGGCTTGAAATCCCATTAATTCAGCATTGATTCAGATTCAGCATTGAGTGATTTTACACTGCTTGTAGTCTATGACATAAAGCACACTCTGAAATCACACACACAGCTAGAGGATCGCTTAAGAACCAGAGCGCTCTCAGCAGCAGAGAAAGAGTTATCACAGGGGAGGTTTATTGATGAGGTTCAAATTGTATTGCCGATGCAAACAGGCAGTAAATTCCATGTTAATATATGAACAGCCTGAAGCCATTAATGTTCAAATCAAGATTCTACACGATTCAGTTCATGAAAACATTTAGCCAGCAGCTGCTTCCTACAAGTTAATACCACTGATCAAATTCTGGAGGTTTATAATAAGCTGCTTCCTCAGGCACAACCCCTGCCTTCATCAGTTTTCTCAAGAGTTTGTATCCACGTGGGTCATTCCGAACCCTGAAGTCATACATCTACCTGCTACGGTTTCTCTAAAGCTTCATACGAACCGGCAGACCGATGAACTTAAATACAACTGATGAGTAAAGCTGCTGTGGGCGTGGCTTAAAGAACATTAATGACACTGCGAAAGAGCAGCTACTGTGTCGACTGCACTGATGGCATCATAAGAGAGCAGGAGATCACACTCTCCCTTTCTGTAAAAGTGCAACAACACAAAGCTTTCCTCTATCACACGCAGGACATATTAAGGGTTCTAAGGTATCAGAGGAAATAAAAGCCTCATCCATCATTAAGTTCCCCTCTTAACCCCCTTGGGGAACCGGTGGGCTCTATCATTCCTGCACATTCATCTGTGTGTACGTCCTCTAAAAGTTCCCCCAGGAAACCGCTCTTCCCGTCCTTGCATGGCTCACGCAAATATGCCATGTCAGCAGCTCTCACTGTCCATCTGCTAGAGGCCTGAACCCCAACACATTCCCAACGTAAGAGCAAAAAGTATGTATGGAAGAAAGAGATTGCTGGAAAGTGTGTGTGTGTTTGTCAAGCTGAATTAAGCCCCACGGTTTCTGTACAACTGAGGTCAGACTCAGATATAATGTTACAGACAATTTTCATGGCTTGAACCATATCTATAGCGATCACACCAAGAACTTGTGACATTACCGATCAGTTATTTACAGTCATGCATGACATCCATGAACTGTTTAGTGGGGGTCACAAATCTCCCTTCATTGAGGTTCTGATAGAGCTTCGGCGGGTCATACCACCTATTACTGATGCACACACTTCCAAGCATTCAGTACATATCCACTCAAATCTTGTATGGCAGCTGCTTGTGCTTTAGGAAAAGCACAAAGGCCAGCTGCAGTTCGGCAAAACGGTTACATGAGCAACGTCACTTTTCATTGAGGGAAATGCAGAGTGTGTGTCTTTAGGGAAAATGAAACGTTTGAACATAAGACAAAGTTGGTAACATCACTAATAGGAAGAGAAGTGATGCAACCAAGAGGTCAGTTTGGCTGGTTAGAACGACCCTGTTAGTTCCTCCTGGTAGATGGCGTAACTAAACCATCTGGACACAAAAAGTATATCTCCACAGATTGCTGCAGGAATGAGTCCTAAAACCTGGAAACAAGTCAGCATTTTTGAACTTGAATGAATTTTGAATTTTAAATGACAAATATTGCTGGCTCCTCGATGAATTGCTTTTTTAAGTCGCTTTGGATAATAGTGCCTGCTAAATGCATAAATGTAAATTAGTTTTTGGTTAAATGCCTGAAATAAGGTCTGTGGTTAGTAAAAGGTCAATATTTTTTAATCTTTTATTCTACGACATCAAATACATTAGTATTGTTCCACTCTCACGTTTTTAAAAAGGCCGCTGTTAACAAGTTGCTAAATGGGACTATAGAGCTTAGACATTAAATTCACAAGTCCTGCTTTTACAGCCTCATTTTTTTTTATATTCTTGCTTTTGCAAAATATTATATCTAAAAACTTGCAACTGACTGACTGAAACACAGAAGTCTACATAAAAATGACACTCTATTGGAAAGCACTGGAGCAAAAGAAGAAAAAACAACAACAACAACAACAATGAACAAAGCATACAAATCACCCTTTCAAAGTCATTTCTTCAATACTACATCACACAGCACATCACACTTGTAGTAAACCTTACTACATTTAAATTACAACTGGTTGAGTCGGCCAAATATGGACCAGACTCTGGTCAGAGAATCAGGAGAGCATCGAGACATTTATTTTACTCCAATAATAAAAATTGTGTTCAAAACACAAAAGAGTCAATCGTTTGTTAGTCACAGAGCTTTTTTCCTACAATAATCTAAAAGATAATGTAAAAATCCTATTAGCTTTTTCTGTGATGCCAACTTCTGAGTTGGCCTGCAAAATGATGTAATTTCTGCAGTCAGCCATTAAATAAAACATTAGCAGTGTCTTCTGATGAACTCTGACTGACTGAAACACAGAAGTCTACATAAAAATGACACTCTATTGGAAAGCACTGGAGCAAAAGAAGAAGAAACAACAACAACAATGAACAAAGCATACAAATTACCCTTTCAAAGTCATTTCTTCAATACTACATCACACAGCACATCACACTTGTAGTAAACCTTACTACATTTAAATTACAACTGGTTGAGTCGGCCAAATATGGACCAGACTCTGGTCAGAGAATCAGGAGAGCATCGAGACATTTATTTTACTCCAATATATGCATCTGCATATGCCTCTGGTATGAAAAAAAAAAAAGACTTACTCGGCGCCTGCGCAACGCAAGAGTGACAGCACGCTAGCGCCATCTGTTGGTCAAAGCCATGCAGGAACACCGCTAACATTGCATGTGATGCATGAAAGGGACAGCTAATAAAACTAATAAATCATCGAAATACACATCACAAATTAAGTTTATATGTGTAATGGCTTTCATTTCTTCATAAAATGCCTGGATTTCTTAACTGAAATATTGGTCTGGAATGTTTGAAGCCATAACTATCTGGCAGAGTAACTAGTACACAAAAGACTACATACAGATAATTTATCTGAAATTGTTATTTAATGACAGACTATAGCATTATACACTTTAGATTACAGAACAAAGCAATGTTAGCGGTGTTCCTGCATGGCTTTGACCAACAGATGGCGCTAGCGTGCTGTCACTCTTGTGCTGCGCAGGCGCCGAGTAAGTCTTTTTTTTTTTTTG